GCAGCCCCGCGGCAGCCCTTCTTCGCGGCGGGGGGAATGGCAGCGCCGGGGGGGGTTCCCCTTCCCCGGGGCCGCTGCGTGGGGCTGAGCTGCGGCTTCTCCGGCGCAGGGCAGGCCGCGGTCGGCAGCAGGTTGGCAGGACGGCTGGGAACCAGCTCCACCAGGCATAAGTGCAGGCACCGAGAAAAGAGGAGTCCTCTGTGTGTGTCCGTGTCCTCGTCTCTTTTTTTTTTTTTCCTTCCCCTTTCCCTCCTCCTTTTATATTTATTCCTTCCCCTAATTAAGAAAAAAAAAAATTATTACCATGTTGGCAGGCTCTTCGTCCCTCCCCTTCCCTCCCTCCTGGCAGCTGGCAAACCCAGCACGAGATGCCGAGCGTGGGGAGAGGAGGATGCTCAACCCGGGCACGTTATTTAACCCGACGCAGCAGAGGTGGAGGAGCAGCCGGCGCTGGCTCCCCCCGGACCCAGCCGGGGGAAGGGGGGGGGTTCCCCCACCACGGCCCCCGCCACGGCACGGGAATGCCCTTTGGATGGTTATTTCTAATATTTGGCAGCTTCAGCTGGACGGGGAGGGGGCCACGGGCAGGGGTCCCGGTAGCCAGCGGAGGCTTTGTCATGCAAAACCCCCTTTGCAGCGAGGCCGGCGGATGCCCACGTGGGTGGAGGCACCGTCCGGGGGCTGGAGGGACCCAGGGGCTTTGCCAACCCCAGAAGGGTGGTGGAAGCAGCCAGACCCGACCTCCCAACACGGCACTCACAGCCGAGCTTGGTCCCGCGGCGAGCACGTGCCGTGCCTCAGTTTACCCACCTGCATCCGTGTCACAGGGATCCAGGATGATTAACGCGTCTTTAGGTTTGATGGCTTGCAGATTGCTCCTGGAGGGACGTGTTGGGACCTGGGTGCCCTGGGCACCCGGTGGGGTCGGGGGTGCAGCTGGAGACCCTCATTTGCAGACCCAAGCCCCTCGGGAGAAGGGCAGTGCCCACGAGCCAGCATCGGGGCTTTTTTTAACCAGATCTCGCTCAAACTTTCTCTGGCATGGAGCATCCTCTGCCCGGGGGGGCCAGCGCGGAGCCTGCCAGATAATTGCTCGGGTGAGTTTGCAGAAAGCCGCAGCTCCTGAGCAGAATTAATCACTCGTTGCCCTGGGAAATAATAACGGGTGGCGGAGACGGTCTCGTTAGCGGTGCAGTCCGGCGGGTGATGCACACCGCAACGCTCTGCCCTCGAGGCAGCCGCATCGCGGTGCGGGGCCGGGATGGACGCTGGGACAAACGCCGGGACAGACACGGCGACGGACGCAGGGACGGGCAGGGGCGAAAGCCACAGGCTGCCCCAGCCTCTGCCCCCCCCATACCCGACCCATGAGGTCACATCCTGCACCCGGCACTTTTGCGGCAAAAGGCTCGGTGCTGGGGGAAGTGCAGAGTGCCTGCTCAGCAAGGAGCATCCCCCATCCTAATTGGGAACAAATGTTCCCAGCCTGGCTGGGGTTTCCTCGCCGGCTCAGAGCGAATCTTCCAGGGCTGCCGCTCTGCCTGCCCCTTCCCAGGGCAGCTCCTGGTCTCTCCTGGCCAGCGGCACCAGTGGGGCAAAGCCGTTGGGACATCCAACTCCTGGAAGGGGCAGGGGAGGAGGGAGAGGGGCCAAGGCAGCAGCAGGGCACAACCCTTATTAGACATCAGAGAATCCCCATCCCTTCCTGCAGCCCCAGAGATGTCGGGAACCTCCCAGCCCTTCCCATTGCCCCAGGCCCAGACCCAGCAGCTGAGTGCATGGGAAAGGGGTCCGGCCCCACGGGGACCCCGTCCAACAACCGCAGCCCCCAGCTGCAGGTGGTCCCCAGCTGCGTTGAGGCTGAAAGGGCCCCGATGCCCAGCTGTGCTTCCTCCTCCTCCTCCTCCTCCTCCTCCT